GTCAGGAGTGTGTAATACACAGAGCGCAGGGGTCAGGAGTGTGTAATACACCAAGTGCAGGGGTCAGGAGTGTGTAATACACAGAGAGCAGGGGTCAGGAGTGTGTAATACACAGAGCGCAGGGGTGTGTAATACACAGAACGCAGGGGTCAGGGGTGTGTAATACACGGAGCGCAGGGGTCAGGAGTGTGTAATACACCAAGTGCAGGGGTCAGGAGTGTGTAATACACAGAGAGCAGGGGTCAGGAGTGTGTAATACACAGAGTGTAGGGGTTAGGACTGTGCAATACACAAAGTGCAGGGGTAAGGAGTGTGTAATACACAAAGCATAGTGGTCAGGAGTGCATGATATAAGGAGCCAGGGATTCAGGAGTCCATATCACACTGCAGGGGTCAGGAGTGTGTAATACACAGTGCAGGGGTTAGGAGTGTGTAATACACAGAGTGCAGGGGTCAGGACTTTGTAATACACAGTGCAGGGGTTAGGAGTGTGTAATACACAGATTGCAGGGGTCAGGACTTTGTAATACACAGAGTGCAGGGGTCAGGTGTGTAATACACTGAGTGTAGGGGTCAGGAGTGTGTAATACACAGAGTGCAGGGGTCAGGACTGTTTAATATATATGGGCAGCACAGTGGCTAAGTGGTTAGCACTTCCACCTGGCAGTACTAGGGTCATTGGTTCTAATCCCAACCACGGCACCACCTGCCTGGAGTTTGCATGTTCTCCCTGTGCCTGCATAGGTTTCCTCTGGGTACTCCGGCTTCCTCCCAAACTGCAAAGACATGCTGGTAGGTTATTTGGCCCCGGTCTAGATTGTCCCTAGTTGTGTATGAATGTGCGTAAATTGATGGTGTTATATAAGTACCTGAAATAAAAAGTAAAATACATAGATTGCAAGGGCTAGAAGTATGTAATACATAGAGTGCAGGGTGTCTGGTGTGTCTAATGCACAGAGTGCAGGGATCAGGAGTGTATGATGCACAGAGCTCAGGAGTCAGGAGTTCATAATGCACAGAGGGCAGGGGATCAGGAGTGCGTAACACACAGAATGCAGGGGTCAGGAGTGTGTAACACACAGAATGCAGGGGTCAGGAGTGTGTAACACACAGAGTGCAGGGGTCAGGAGTGTGTAACACACAGAGTGCAGGGGTCAGGAGTGTGTAACACACATAGTGCAGGGGTCAGGAGTGTGTAACACACAGAGTGCAGGGGTCAGGAGTGTGTAACACACAGAGTGCAGGGGTCAGGAGTGTGTAACACACAGAGTGCAGGGGTCAGGAGTGTGTAACACACAGAGTGCAGGGGTCAGGAGTGTGTAACACACAGAGTGCAGGGGTCAGGAGTTCATAATGCACAGAGGGCAGGGGATCAGGATTGCGAAACACAGAGTACAGAGGTAAGGAGTATGTAATGCACAAAGCACAGGGGCCAGCAGTGCACAATGCACAGAGCATAGGGATCAGGAATGTGTAACACACAGAGTGCAGGGGTCAGCAGTGCATAATGCACAGAGTATACTGAGGTTTAGAAGTAACACACAAAGCACAGGGATCAGCAGGGCATAATGCACAGACTGCAAGAGTCAGGAGAATGTAAGGCACAGAATATAGGGGTCATGAGTGGATAGTGCTCAGTGTGCAGGGATCAGGAGTGTGAAACACACAGGGTGCAGTGGCTGGGTGTACATAATGCACACAGTGCTGGGAACAAAAGTGAGTAGCACACAAAGTACGGGGCTCAGCAGGGCGTAATGCACAGAGAGCAGGAGTCAGGTAGTAGGCAGAAGCGGCAGTTGCATTGGGCTCTTCAACAGAAGGGGAGCACAAAACGTCAGGACCTGCAACCTATTCTGCCCAAGGTGGTTCCCAGTCCATTATGAGGGAGGTGCACTTTAATCCTTTTGTCTTGGGTGCTGAAAAGGACCTTATCCCAGCACTGGATGAGTACAACACATTTATTGTGCCTGCTATGAAGTGAGACTGTGCTCCACCCGTCCTTCCCTCGCCCTGCACCCTTGCCTCCACCCATCCTTACCTCGCCCTGCACCCTCGCCTCCATCCATACCTCACCCTGCACACTCTACTCTACCTGTCCATACCTCTCTCTGCACCCTCTCCTCCATCCGTCCATACCTCGCCCTGCACCCTCTCCTCCATCCGTCCATACCTCGCCCTGCACCCTCTCCTCCATCCGTCCATACCTCGCCCTGCACCCTCTCCTCCATCCGTTCTTACCTTGCCCTGCACCGTCGCCTCCACCCATCCATACCTCGCCCTGCACCCTCGCTTCTATCCGTCCATACCTCGCCCTGCATCCTCTCCTCCACCCGTCCTTAGCTCACCCTGCACCCTCGCCTCCACTCATCCTTACCTCGCCCTGCACCCTCGCCTCCACCCATCCTTACCTCACCCTGCACCCTCATCTCCACCCGTCCATACCTCGCTCTGCACCCTCTCCTCCATCCGTCCTTACCTCGCCCTGCACCCTCGCCTCCACCCATCCTTACCTCGCCCTGCACCCTCGCCTCCACCCATCCTTACCTCGCCCTGCACCCTCATCTCCACCCGTCCATACCTCACTCTGTACCCTCTCCTCCATCCGTCCTTACCTCGCCCTGCACCCTCGACTCCAGCCGTCCTTACCTCGCCCTGCACCCTCGACTCCAGCCGTCCTTACCTCGCCCTGCACCCTCGACTCCAGCCGTCCTTACCTCGCCCTGCACCCTCGACTCCAGCCGTCCTTACCTCACCCTCGCCTCCACCCGGCCTTACCTCACTCTGCACCCTCGCATCCACCCATCCTTACCTCACCCTGCACCCTCCTCTCCACCCGTCCATACCTCACTCTGCACCCTCGCCTCCACCTGTCCATACCTTGCCCTGCACCCTCTCCTCCATCCGTCCTTACCTCGTCCTGCACCCTCTCCTCCACCCATCCTTACCTCGTCCTGCACCCTCGCCTCCACCCGTCCATACTTCGCCCTGCACCGTCGCCTCCACCCGTCCTTACCTCGCCCTGCACCCTCACCTCCACCCGTCCTTACCTCGCCCTGCACCCTCGCCTCCACCCGTTCATACCTCGCCCTGCACCCTCGCCTCCACCCGTCAATACCTCGCCCTGCACCCTCGCCTCCACCCGTCCTTGCCTCGCCCTGCACCCTCGCCTCCACAAATCCCAAACTGATCCCTTGCATTACTCACATCAGGCTTCTGCATTGTGTGTGCTGCCTCTCTCCAGCCTCGGCTCTGGCTTTACTGACTGCAGAAGTATCCAAATAAAATATAAATACGGTGTATGACGTCACAGAGGGGGGGGTTCCCCCGGGAGAGTGAAGCTGAGGGCAGAGCTCAGCAGAGAGCACACTGCGTACTCATGTGCCCCGTTCCCATTAATAATAAACAGCCCGCTCCCTGGGGAAATGAATGCAGGAAAACTAAGAAACTTTTCCTCTCCCCATATCTTCCTATCACATTGCGGCCAACAGGAAAACAAAACAACAACATGTGCGTTTACTTGACCTCGTCCTAATTCCTAGACGCACATCCGCTTACAAAGGACTGGTCACGTTTGGGCTTCTACCAGAATATGACGTGTTCAGTCTGGTGATTATCATAATTGTCCAGTCGCCCCTATGTCTGAACGGAGAGGCTACTGACCATTCCGGTCTTCGATACAGTTATGTGCACTCAGGAGCTGAGAAAGGTGTCTTCCATTCCTGTTGGTTTACTAGGTACAGGGATCAGCATTAACAGCCTATCTATAGAAAAAAAAAGCTTTTCTTTGTTTTGGATAGACCGGGAAAGGATTAAAGAAAAAAGTTGTGGCGCTGCCTCCAAAGGAGCCGCTTGGTAAATGGGTTCTCAATTCCAAGAACACGCTCAGCCCCTCTGACACCCCTGGTTGAGTGAAAGTTACTGCAAGCACTTATAAAAAATACGTGTATAGTCTAATCCACAGGTGTCAAACACAAGGCCCGAGGGCCGAGCGCGGCCTTCCAGGCCATTTCATTGTATGTAGTTGGGAGAACTCAAAAATAGCACAATGCATTTTTGCTCCTGAGCATTTTCCACTGCTGATCTTCAAAATAATTGTGGTGATGCCATTTTTTGAGTCATTCCAACTATGTTTGATCCCCCCCCCCCCCCCCCCCCAAACACACTGTACATTTCCTTTTTGTGAATTAACACCAATATCAAAAGCATTTGAGCTCACAATTCTTTGGTCTGGTGCTCTCATTAGACTCATGGACACATAGGGGTCTATTTATTAAAACATTTGTTGGGTTAATGTCAAAAGCATTTACCGGCAATCACAGGTTCTGACCATATTTGGTTGGGTTAACAGCTTGATTTTCAGCTCCATCTAGTGCCCATAATATGTTTTTTTTTTCTGAAATATTTTAATCAGAAAAATACCACATTATTACCACTAGATGGTGCTGATGATGATAGGAAATCAACATATTGGGCAAGATTTTGCTTGTCATATTTGCCTACATCAGCCTTTCTCAACGAGGGTGCCCAGGCCTTGAGGTGCCTTGAGGTTTCTTCAGGGGTGCCTTGGCAAAATGTCTAAAAATTGCCCAAAACTTGTATACAAGCCAGCGGGTGGAGCAAGCCGGCCTTTTAGTTACACAAAGCCCCAGGTTTTCATTGTGCGCCATTACGACCTTCTAGCCGCCAGCGTCCTGACAACCAATGACACCATGAGTTGATAAGGAGGATGTTGGGTGCCTGCGCAGCATCTTTGTTTGACCCTCCCCCGCCCCTCTCAATCAGTGCTGGGGTCACATTAGCTCAGTGATGGAGAAAAACTGAGGGAGAAGAAACAATGGAATACTAGTCAGTACCAGTGTGCAAAAGTGTATTTGCTTTGGAAGAACAAATCCCCTCTAATGTTGGGTGTCCTACATGTGTGGATGTTGCTGCATTATGTAAAACTAGTAGAATAGTTTTTCACATTTTAGAACGGGGTGCCCTTTTAAAATGATGTAGTCTAGAGCAGGCCTTGAAATTTCCACTCGCCTGCTCGCCAATGGCAAATGGAAATTATAGTGGGGGCGAGTGTGTCCCCCAGGGCCGTCTTGCTGAGCAGGCTCGGAGCTCAGGCCGGATCTATCATTGGCACTGGGAGCCGTCAGACTGCTCAATAGCTGTGCGCAGTGAAAGCAAAGGAAGAAGTGTGTGCTGTGCTCTCTGCCTCCCCCTAGAGTGCAGTGCCCGGCTCTGTGAGTGAACAACGAAGTACTGCAACTTTTATAGTGTTTGTGTGTGTGTACCTAATTTCAACTCACTCTGGTCACATGATCCTCTATGTCAGCCAGTGGTGGCTTCAGGGGAGAGGAGAGAGCACTTAACAGCGTGTGTGTGTATGCATGTCTGTGTATGTACATATGTGTATCTGTACATGTGTATATGTACATGTGTCTGTGCGTGTGTATTTCTGTGTATGTACATGTATCTGTGTGTATGCGTGTCTGTACGTGCCTGTGTGTGTATACATGTGTCTGTATGTGTGTACATGTGTCTCTGTGCGTGTGTGTGTACATGTTTCTGTGTGCGTGTGTATACATGTGTCTGTATGTGTGTGTATGTACATGTCTGTGTGTGTGTACAGGTGTCTGTTTGTGTGTGTGTGCGTGTACATGTCTGTGTGTGTATACATGTGTCTGTATGTGTGTGTGTGTGTACATGTGTCTCTGTGCGTGTGTGTGTGTGTGTGTGTATACATGTGTCTGTATGTGTGTGTATGTACATGTCTGTGTGTGTACAGGTGTCTGTTTGTGTGTGTGTGTACATGTGTCTGTATGTGTGTGTGTGTGTACATGTGTCTCTGTGCGTGTGTGTGTACATGTTTCTGTGTGTGTGTGTGTATACATGTGTCTGTATGTGTGTGTGTGTACATGTCTGTGTGTGTATACATGTGTCTGTATGTCTGTATGTGTGTACATGTGTCTCTGTGCATGTGTGTGTACATGTTTCTGTGTGCGTGTGTATACATGTGTCTGTATGTGTGTGTATGTACATGTCTGTGTGTGTGTACAGGTGTCTGTTTGTGTGTGTGTGTACATGTCTGTGTGTGTATATACATGTGTCTGTATGTGTGTGTGTGTACATGTGTCTCTGTGCGTGTGTGTACATGTTTCTGTGTGTGTGTGTGTGTGTATACATGTGTCTGTATGAGTGTGTGTGTACATGTCTGTGTGTGTATACATGTGTCTGTATGTGTGTGTATGTACATGTCTGTGTGTGTATACATGTGTCTGTATGTGTGTGTGTGTACATGTGTCTCTGTGCGTGTGTGTACATGTTTCTGTGTGTGTATACATGTGTCTGTATGAGTGTGTATGTACATGTCTGTGTATGTGTACAGGTGTCTCTGTTTGTGTGTTTGTTGGTGGCAAGTAACTCTTAAGTCCTGGCTAGTAGCTCAGGACTTGAGATTTTAAGCCCTGGTCTAGATGCCCCCTATTTTAGAATGGGGTGCCCCAAGACTGTCCGTATTTTTAAGGGGTGCCTTGACTGAAAAAAGTTTGAGAAACACTGATCTACACAACCCAATAGGTTCCAAACTTTGGGTTCTCTTGCTAAAGGGTTCTCTGTTGGTGATGAGAGTGGCCCCGCCAAAACCATTGCAACCCGTATAGATTTGATTAATCTTCTTTAGCCATGAATTGTTGATGAACTGAATTCAGCGCCTCCATCATACATGTTTAAAACACCAAAAAACCACGTCGAGGGTCTTTATCGTCTCCTACTCGGTTCTTTGTTTTGATTCTCTCATTAGACTTTAAGGATGATTGGGATATTCTCATTACTACCCCCATGGCCTGATTATTACAAGTGGGTTTCAGATCAGGAACACCAAAGGTGAAGATTGTAAAGTCTTGTCATCCTGATACTAATAGATTGAGTCCAGAGGTTAGAATTCCCTACAGCAGGTGAAAGAGCAAATACCAACTTTATATGACTACTGAGGAGATAGGTAAGGGCTGCACACATCATCATTCTCTAACTGATCACCCATCACCTATATGACCGTCCCCACAATTGTAACACAACATCAAATTCTCAATTCTTCTTAAAGCTGATGTTTCTTGCATGTGTAGCTCTATCCCCGTAGGGGCCGCTTGATAATGATTGTCCCCAATGGCTGCCCTGAGCTTGAAAGCCTCCCGACACCTCTGACACTCTGGGTCCAGACATATTTCAGCAGTGTAGAACAGCCTTTCTCAACCAGGGTGCCCAGGCACCCTGGGGTGCCTTGAGGCTTCTTCAGGGGTGCCTTGAGGCTTCTTCAGGGGTGCCTTGGCAAAATGTCTAAAAATTGCCCAAAACTTGTAAACAAGCCAGCTGGTGGAACAAGCCTGTCATTAACTTACACAAAGCCACAGGTTTTCATTGTGCACCATTATGACCTTCTAGCCACCCGCATCCTGAAAACCAATGACATCATCGGTTGATAAGAGGATGTCAGCTGCTTGCACAGCATCATAGTTTGACCCTCCTTTGTCCCTCTCCATCAGTGCTGGAGTCACATTAGCTCAGTGATGGAGAAAAACTGATGGAGAAGAGAAACGCTGGAATACTAGTCAGTACCAAAAGTGTATTTGCTTTGAAAGAATAAATCCCCTCTAATGTTGGGTGTTCTACATGGGTGGATCTTGCTGCGTTATATAAAACTTTTCACATTTAGAATGGGGTGCCTCAAGACTGTCCATAATTTTAAAGGGTGCCTTGACTGAAAAAAGGTTGTGAAACACTGGTGTGGAATGATAATGCAAGAGGCACAAGTAAGACCTCTATATTAGACTTTGTGGCCCCCTGGTCCTAAACTGGGGCTACTATGCAAACTTTTGAGAAAGACACAAATAATAATTTACCTGCAAGGAAACCCGTGCGGTCATCATTGCTTTGCACAAAAAGGGACTCGCAGGCAAGGATATTGCTGCTACTAAGATTGCACCTAAATCAACCATTTATGGGATCATCAAGAACTTCAAGGAGAGAGCTTCAATGAAGAAGGCTTCTTGTGAAGAAGGCTTCAGGGCACCCAAGAGAGTCTAGCAAGTGCCAGGACCGTCTCCTAAAGTCGATTCAGCTGCGGGATCGGGCCACCACCGATGCAGGGCTTGCTCAGGAATGGCAGCAGGCAGGTGAGAGTACATCTGCAGGCACGGTGAGGAGAAGACTTTTGGAGGATTGGCCTGGTGTTAAGAAAGGCAGCAAAGAAGCCACTTCTCTCCAGGAAAAACATTAAGGACAGACTGGTATTCTCCAAAAGGTACAGAAATTGGACTGCTGAGGACTGGGGAAAGTCATGTTCTCTGATGAATCCCCTTTCCAATTCTTTGGGGCATCCGGAACAAACCTTGTCCGGAGAAGAAAAGGTGAGCACTACCATCAGTCCTGTGTCATGCCAACGGTTAAGCATCCTGAGATCATTCATGTGTGGGGTTGCTTCTCAGCCAAGGCAGTGGGCTCACTCACAACTTTGCCTAAAAACACAGCCGTGAATGAAGAATGGTCCAAAAACATCCTCCGAGAGTAACTTCTCCCAACCATCCAAGAACAGATTGGTGAGGAACAATACCTTTTCCAGCATGATGGAGCACCATGCCATAAGGCAAAAGTGACAACTAAGTGGCTTGGGGAACAAAATATCGAAATTTTGGATCCATGGCCAGGAAACACCCCAGACCCCAATCCTATTGAGACCGTGTGGTCAGTCCTCAAGAGGTGGGTGAAATAAAACCCCCACAAAGTCCAACAAACTCCAAGCATTGATTATACAAAGATGCGGCCCAGAAGTTGATTGACAGCATGCCATGGAGAATTGCAGAGGTCTTGAAAAAGAAGGGTCAACACTTAAACTTAATGTAATTGTCAATGAAAGCCTTTGACACTTATGAAGTGCCTGTAATTATACTTCAGTATACCAGAGTAACATCGAACAAACAGCACTGAAGCATCAGACTTAGTGAAAATTAATATTTTTGTAATTCTCAAAACTTTTGGCCAGAGCTGTAGTTGGCTCAAACTTTTATACAGTTTCTTATCTGGTTTTCCCCTAATCTCAGCTGGGTTGTGTATTTCTCACTGTTGCCAATGTAGGTGTTACTGGTGGCGCAGGTCATAGTACGAGAGTTATATTTCTTCCTGGAGGTTCTACAGCCACTGGTGCATTCTGGGAGAGGGTACATATACTTGGGGCGGGCCATGTGCCTGCTCTCTTGCCTCAGGCCTAGGCTTGAAGAGGTGCTGCTGGAGAGAGCTCCATGTTAGGCCCAGAAGCCTGTCTGGGCCTACCTGCTTTGAAGTGGTCCTGAGGCTGTTCTGTCCGCTGTGGAGGAAGCCAAGCCAAGGAGCCAAGGTAAGAAGATCCAGGGGAGTCCTCTTGCTGGAGAGAGCTCCATGTTAGGCCCAGAAGCCTGTCTGGGCCTACCTGCTTTGAAGTGGTCCTGAGGCCGTTCTGTCCGCCGTGGAGGAAGCCAAGCCAAGGTGAAAAGATCCAGGGGAGTGTTCTTGTTGGAGAGAGCTCTATGTTTGGCCCAGAAGCCTGTCTGGGCCTACCTGCTTTGAAGTGGTCCTGTGGCTGTTCTGTCCGCCGTGGAGGAAGCCAAGCCAAGGTGAGAAGATCCAGGAGAGTCTTCTTGTTGGAGAGAGCTCCATGTTTGGCCCAGAAGCCTGTCTGGGCCTACCTGCTTTGAAGTGGTCCTGAGGCTGTTCTGTCCGCCGTGGAGGAAGCCAAGCCAAGGTGAGAAGATCCAGGGGAGTCCTCTTGCTGGAGAGAGCCAGGATGAAGGCTGGTCCCTCAGAAGGGCCTGGTGACTCGCTTGGAGGATGCACTAGACTCTGAAAATGTGTTTGCATCATTGCTGGGTCGGGTTAAAGGTTCTGACACTGTGAAGCTGGACTTTGTTCTGGATCCAAGGAGTTTCTAAGTGATCTGTTTGGCATCTGAAGCCCCTAATCCTCTCCTTCCACTTCCTTTCAAGCTCAATATTAAAGCTTTGAAAAAGACCTAAAGTGGCCGGCGCCCAATTACTGGTCTGATCTCCCCTTTTTAGCCATGGACTCAGCCCTGGGGCAAATGCTAGCTCGCTCCCCGCCCTTTGGAGTTACTACCCTGTCTTCAGGGAGGGGGCGCTAAAGCTTGTTCAAAAGAGTAAGCCACGGAAATAATGGGTTTAGGATATACAACTCCAGTTAACACATAAAAGCAGAAAACTGGTAAAATATAAATAATCAATTAGCAACGTTTAACATATTATACAGTCATGATCAGTAAGCCTCAACCCTCTAACTGCAACACCAGCAGCTAAAGAGGGAAGAAAAGGCTTGTTGACTTATCGGCTCCCTCTGGACCACCAGCGCTGCAAAGGGGAATGCTGAGTATGTAAACGTATACTCCACCATGAATAGATATGTGTCTCAATTTGAACAGCAATGGCCTTAAAAAAGAAGAGGTCCCTTTAACTAGAGATTACAACTTGAGTCCTGCGATGTTTATAACTCCTGGTATGGTGGTATCCGTTGTTTTCTGCTAGCAATGGTGGGGCCCATAAACATTAGTGAATACTGGCAATTCAATGAAGTTAAACAGATAGACTGTGGTACTGCTGATGTGCAGTGTCTCACAGCAGTAAGCCAGGAGGAGAATGGCAGTGGCAGATCCTCTCCAAGTCATTAAGGTTTGGTGGCTGACGTTTGGCAACTTGAACTTTCAGCTCCCTCCACAGATTTTCAATCAGATAAAGGTCAGGAGACTGGCTAGGCCACTCCAGGACCTTAATGTGCTTCTTCTTGAGCCGCTCCTTTGTTGCCTTGGCCATGTATTTTGGGTCATTGTCATACTGGAACACCCATCCACGACCCATTTTCAATGCCCTGGCTGAGGGAAGAAGGTTCTCACCCAAGATTTGATGGTACATTGACCCGTCCATCGTCCCTTTGATGCGGTGCAGTTGTCCTGTCCCCTTAGCAGAAAAACACCCCCAAAGCAGAATGTTTCCACCACGTTTCACAGTTGGGATGGTGTTCTTGGGGTCATAGGCAGCATTCCTCCTCCTCCAAACACAGCGAGTTGAGTTGATGCCAAAGAGCTGGATTTTGTTCTCATCTGACCACAACACTTCCACCAGTCCTCCTCTGCATCATTCAGATGTCCAGTGGCAGACTTCAGACGGGCCTGGACATGTGCTTTCTTGAGCAGAGGGACCTTGCGGCACTGCAGGATTTCAGTCCTTGTCGGCGTAGTGTGTTACCAATTGTTTTCTTGGTGACTGTGGTCCCAGCTGCCTGGAGATCATTGACAAGATCCTCACGTGTAGTTCTTCTGGGATGATTCCTCACTGTTCTCATGATCATTGACTCTCCACGAGGTGAGATCTTGCATGGTGCACCAGACCTAGGGAGACTGACACTTGTTTTGTGTTTCTTCCATTTGTGCATGATTGCACCAACTGTTGTCACCTTCTCACCAAGCTGCTTGGCCATAGTTTGGTAGCCCAGTCCAGCCTTGTGTAGGTCTACAATCTTGTCCCTGACATCCTTGGACAGCTCTTTGGTCTTTGCCATGGTGGAGAGTTTGGAATCTGATGGTTTGATTGCTCCTGTGGACAGGTGTCTTTTATACAGGTCAAAAAATGAGATTAGCAGTACTCCCTTTAAGAGACTTCTTCTAATCTCAGCTTGTTACCTGTATGAAAGACACCTGGGAGCCAGAAATCCTGCTGAATGATAGGGGATCCAATCCTTATTTCCCTCATGAACATGCAGATCCGTCATCATTTGTTAGACGCATTTCTGCTGAATTTGTTGTTGTATTCTGTCTTCTCAGTGTTACAATACACCGAACATTCCATTGTTAGACCGATCATTTCTTTGTGAGGGGCCAACATTCAACATCAGCCGGGGAGCAAATACGCATTTCCTTCACTGTATGTGTCAATATATTTGGGAAGAATATTTTTAATGTATATTTTTCTTCCACGTGGGAGTGTAGGGAGACTCCTCCTCTAGTCCCTGCATGCATGGGTGTCTCCATAGGACGCTGCGAGTGAAAGGAGTCACCCTGAGTCAGGGAAGCTGCGGCAGTGATGACGTCACTGGTTTTGTACTTGTACCCAAATGTTTCCAGGGACACATCTTTACAACCTGGGAATGACCCTGGAAACTGGGGACAGTTGGAATCTATGGGCAAACCTAACGTGTCAGCGCTGTAGAGATGCACAGAAGATTTCATGTACCAGCACTACCTGCTTGGATGAGGACAGCGGACCCAGTGCCCCTCCCCCCACCATGGATTGGCGCCTTATCTCTCGGACCTTGCTCAGTGCCTGGGCAGGGTGATCAGAGGTGATCAGAGATACATGAACCCGCAGCACAGGAATCCTTCACCCTGCCCAGGAAATCTCGAGGCTCCATTCACGAAGCATTGATACCACCATGAGTGTCTTTATTTTAGCCGTGCAACTGCCATTTTCACATTCTCATGGACCTAACTGAAAGTAACTGTCACTTTTTTTTTTAAAGTGTCCCTGTCATGGTGTGTAATGAGACGTGTCCCGCTGACAGCATGGCCAGGCAGCAAACGGGCACTACCTGGAAGGAGACACGTTGCTAGGTGTTCGATCGATGCGTTGCTATGCTGAAAGTCGATCCCCGGAGCCTTCCTGACGGCAACCTCTGCCTTGTCCCAGAGAGAGAGAGACCCTGTACAAGGTGCCAGAGGAACCCACCGGGGGGGGGGGGGGGCAGGAGGCCTCTCATGTGTCCCAGACTTGGCACCCAACAGGTTAATTGGAAAACATGAAGAATGTGCCGACCAACCAACACTCTGCTGCCCCCTTCCTACAGGCACAGCGGGTGTACAGACTCAGGAAGTCATTACAGGGATGGTGGGAACCCCTCATAATGGTGCAGCAGGTGCACAGACCCAGAAACTCAGCCCAGGGATGGTGGGAACCCCTCATAATGGGCACAGCGGGTGTACAGACTCAGGAAGTCATCACAGGGATGGTGGGAACCCCTCATAATAGGCACAGCAGGTGTACAGACCCAGGAACTCAGCGCAGGGATGGTGGGAACCCCTCATAATGGGCACAGCGGGTGTACAGACTCAGGAAGTCATCACAGGGATGGTGGGAACCCCTCATAATGGGCACAGCAGGTGTACAGACCCGGGAACTCAGCACAGGGATGGTGGGAACCCCTCATAGTGGGCACAACGGGTGTACAGACCCGGGAACTCGGCACAGGGATGGTGGAACCCCTCATAATGGGCACAGCGGGTGTACAGACCCGGGAACTCGGCACAGGGATGGTGGGAACCCCTCATAATGGGCACAGCGGGTGTACAGACCCGGGAACTCGGCACAGGGATGGTGGGAACCCCCTATAATGGGCACAGCGGGTGTACAGACCCGGGAACTCAGCACAGGGATGGTGGGAACCAGCTGAATGAGAAGATGAGACACATATGCAGGAGCCGGTCTGCCTGTCAAAGGACGTCTGTCCATCCAGCTCTGAGATTTGCACAGCTCTGACAGCCCAGTACTGCCCACAATGGGCGGAGACCTGCTGCTGTTACTGACCTCTGCTGCGGTTCAGTAACACTTCCAGGTCTTGCCCCTCCCCCACACTCTAACTGGACAGTGAAAGAAGAAGCAGCAGACTAATGAGCTCATCTACCTGTCACTCTGCTCTCTCCTCCTATCAGCATGTTCCTTTGTCTCAAGTCCTGTTGCTGTCTGTAATCCCATCATCAATGCTGGCCATACACTCTACAATCTGATTGTAAAATATCCATACAATCGCTTTACCATAACTATGTAATATGAGGACAAACCTAAACCGTCAATTCGGTTTCCATGCAATCAGGCAGGTCTTTGTACTACATAGTTGTTGGGGATCCTGAGGGTGACCATACACTATACAATCTGGTTGTACAATCTTCGCTAGGTCTACCGACAAGTATGTAGTACAAGAGTCTGTCTGGTTGCCTACAAATCGATTGGATATATCAGGTCCGTGTGTTACATAGAATTGGTAGATCTAAGGTTGGTCTGACAGAGATTGCACGGGCAGATTGTAATGTGTATGGTGACCTTAAAGGAGATTGTACGCATAACAAACGCACTGAAACTGGCCAAAACGCAGCAAAAATGCACCGGAACGCACATGTCCCTATTTAAATTGAAGAAAAAGAGAGGGGGGGAAAAATTAACAGAAACGGATCAAAAATGCACCAAAATGCAGCAAAAACGCACCGGAATGGACCAAGATGCAGCAAAAACGCACCGGAACGCACATGTCCCTATTTAAATTGAAGAAAAGGAGAGGGGAAACTAATGAACCAGAACGCATCAAATATTCACCAGAGCACTTCAAAATCTCATCAAAAACGCACCAGAACGCTTCAAAAACCCATAAAAAAATGCACCGGAACGAACTAAAATGCACTAAAAATACACCAGAACGTTCCAAAACGCAGCAGCATGCACTGGAATGCACATGTCCCTATTTAAATGGAAGAAAAGGACAGAGGGAGAAAAATGAACTGGAAAGCATCAAAAACACACACCAGAATGCTTCAAAAATGCATAAAAATGTACCGGAACGCAGCAAAAATGCACCAGAATGCACCAAAATGCAGCAAAAACGCACTGGAATGAGCCAAGACGCAGCAAAAATGCACTGGAACACACATGTCCCTATTTTAATTGAAGAAAAGGAGAAGGGAAACAAATGAACTGGAACGCATCAAATAATCACCAGAGCGCTTCAAAATCTCATCAAAAACGCACCAGAACGCTTCAAAAACCCATAAAAATGCACTGGAACGCACTAAAATGCACTAAAAATGCAGCAAAACGTACCAAAACGCAGCAGAAACGCACTGGAATGCACATGTCCCTATTTAAATGGAAGAAAAGGACAGAGGGGGAAAAATGAACTGGAAAGCATCAAAAAACGCACACCAGAACGCTTCAAAAATGCATAAAAATGTACCGGAACGCATCAAAAACGCACCAGAACCTACCAAAGCGCAGCAATAATGCACTGGAATGCACATGTCCCTAATTCAATTGAGGAAAAGGACAGAGGGGAAAAATGAACAGGAAAGCATAAAAACGCATCAGAACGCTTTAAAAATGCATAAAAAACGCATCAAAGCGCAGGAAAATGCACTGGAACGCACATGACCCTATTTAGATTGAAGAAAAAGAGAGGGGGAAAAAATGAACCGGAAAGCATCAAAAACGCATAAAAAACGCACCAGAATGCTTCAAAATCTCATCAAAAACGCACCAGCATGCTGCAAAAACACATAAAAAACGCACCGGAACGCACTAAAACGCAGCAGATATGTACTGGAACGCACATGTCCCTATTTAAATTGAAGAAAAAGAGAGAGGGCGGAAAAATTAACCGTAAAGGATCAAAAACGCATAAACCGCACCAGAACGCACCAAAATGCAGCAAAAACGCACCGGAATGGGCCAAGACGCAGCAAAAATGCACCGGAACGCACATGTCCCTATTTAAATTGAAGAAAAGGAGAGGGGAAACAAATTAACTGGAAAGCATCAAAAACGCACCAAAACCACACCGGAACGCGCAAGCAGAAACATCCGGAAGGCATCTGGACTGCGTTTGTATAGTGTGATCCGGCAGTACAGGAGGTTGTACAATCAGATTGCATAGTGTGTGGTCACATTTCTCACTCCTGTGCCTATAGTCAGCCCCTATGAAGGGAACGTTGGGCATGCTGGGACTTGTGCCTCCGCAGTCACCTGACTCTGTTGTGCCACCTCCATTGAATGAGAGGAGGGCGAGGTCCTGGGAGGAGAGGGAGGTCTCAGGGGAGGGTGAGGCTCATAGGGATAGGAGGGATCAGGGCAGAGAAAACCTGAGATTGAAGCCGATGGATGAAAGCGCAGAAAGGAGAATAAACAGAGGAGGGAAGACGTGAGGACACAAAGTTGGAACGCCATCAGAAAAACGAGATAAAGGAACGCCAAGATCCAGGTAAAGCAAACATTCCGTGTGCCACTGAGGGGAGCGTTCACCTGCTTAAAGGGGACGTCCACCTGCTTAAAGGGGGGAGTAAACAAAAACAAAATCCAACAAAACACTTTTTCAGAGATGATTCTAATCATCATGCGGTACTATCAGTGTCAGGTGACGGGAACAAAATTCGTCTCGCCTACCTATTCCTGTACGGTACGTCCACTTTGGATATTTCATCGGTCACAAAACAGTCCTTTATTGTTCCTCGCAGTCCTCCTGTTGGTGAAGAATTTCACCCGAACACGTCTACGGCTCATTAAAGAAAGATTATTACTACTATTATTATTATTATTATTACTATTTGTTATTATTATTATTATTATTATTGTTGTTATTATTATTATTATGGTTGTTATTATTATTATTATTATTACTATTGTTATTGTTATTATTATTGTTATTGTTATTATTACTACTATTATTATTATTTTTTATTACTATTGTTATTATTATTATTATTATTATTGTTGTTATTATTATTATTATGGTTGTTATTATTATTATTATTTTTTATTATTATTATTATTATTTACTATTTTATTTTTATTATTATTTTATTGTTATTATTATTATTACTATTTTTATTTATTACTATTGTTATTATTATTATTATTATTTTTATTTTTTAATTTTTTTTATTTTTTATTTTACTATTGTTATTATTATTATTATTTTTTTTATTGTTATTATTTACTATTTTTTATTATTTTATTTATTATTTACTATTATTATTATTATTATTTTATTACTATTGTTATTATTATTATTTATTACTATTGTTATTATTTATATTTTTATTATTGTTGTTGTTTAATAATAATAATAGCAATAGTAATAATAATAATAACAACAATAATAATAATAATAACAATAATAATAATAGTTTTAATAGTAGTAATAATAATAATAATAACAATTAATAACAATAACACAATATATAATAATAATAATAATAAACAACAACAACAATTAATAAATAACAACAATAATAATAATAATAATAACAATATTAATATAATAATAATAACAACAACAATAATAATAACAATTATTGTTCTTTTATTAATTGAATCATAATTAATATTTTAAATAATGTTCAGATTTCCTAATTCTGCCTGTCAGTGTGGAGGTCTTTCTAATGAGCTGTAGACGTGAGCTGAGCTGGTTAAAAACAGGATCAATGAAGACGTTATACATTACAAATATAAATTTTCATTTGAAATAATTTTAAAATGTTTTTATTATGAATATTATTATTATTATTACTATTTTTATTTATTATTAATATTTATTATTTTTGTTGTTAATAATAATAATAACAATAGTAATAATAATAATATTCATAATAATACATTTTAAAATGATTTCAAATGAAAATTTATATTTGTAACGTATAACGTCTTCATTGAACCTGTTTTTAACCAGCTCAGCTCACGTCTACAGCTCATTAGAGAAGACCTCCACACTGACAGGCAGAATTAGGAAATTTGAACATTATTTAAAATATTAATTAAGGTTCAATTAATAAAATTAAAGAACAATAATTATTATTATTATGAATAATAATAATAATACATTTTTCAATTATTTAAAATTAAACTTATTTTGTAATGAATAACTTTTGCAGTGATCCTATTTTTAACCAGTTTAGCTCATGTCTGCAGTGCATTAGAGAAGACCTCAGCACTGACAGGGAGAATAAGGACATTTTGTTATGATTTTAAATATTAATTATGATTAAATTTAATAAAATAATAATATTAATATTAAAAATAATAATTTAAAATTTTTAAATTATTTAAAATTAAAATTACTTTTGTAAGGGATAACTTTTGCATTGTGAATAGAGCCTACAAACAGCAGTAGCAGACTTCATGCATCAATACATTGTATCAGCATTGTTACAATGTATTTTTTTTCCCCATTTTATTTGCAGAACATTTTAAATATGGCTTACAAATTTCCCTCTCTTGTGACCAAACTCTCCCCTTCCACTCTCAGGCCTTGTGTACTGATCCTTATATATAAATGTGAATCTCCAATCAGTGATTAGAGCCTGCAAACCCTTGCACCCTTCATTCAGTCAGCACTGTTATAATGTATTTTGATTCCTGCGTACAATTAGATCAGAAGTGAAGG